CATTAGTAGCTGAGTAGCTCCCAAAGATAAAATAGGGGTCCTAATTTATGGTATAAATAAACTATCAAGCATAACACAAAATGCACAAACAGCAGAAGAGAAAACTAGATGACTTGGACCTTCTGAAAATTAAATTCTTATGAGCATCAAAAGACTTTTCTAAAAGAGTAAAAAGAGAACCTACAGATTGGGAAAAAAATATTTAGCAATGACTTATCTGACAAGGAACATATCTTGAAAATTTATAGAAAACTTCAACACCTCAACATCAAAATGACAAACAATGAAATTCAAAAATAGGGAAAGGATATGAACAGACGCTTCACCAAAGAACTTCAAGCAGCCAACAAATAATGAAGAAATGCTTGCAATCATTAGCCATTAGAGAGATGAAAATCAAAACAATAGCGAGATATCTCACCTCGGCAATAATAGCAAAGTTCAACAAGACAGAAAATAACAAATGCTGGAAAGGGTGTGGAGAGATTGGAACACACACTGCTTCTGGGCCTGTAAAATGGTACAACCACAGTGGAAAATGGTATGGTGCTTCCTTAAAAAGTTAGAAATAGAAATACCATTTAACCTAGTAATCCCATTACTAGGAGTATAACCTAAAGAGGTGAGACCCAGGATGTAAATAGATATATGCACACCCATGTTCATGGTAACACTTTGCAATAGCAAAGGGATGGAAACAACCTAAGTGCCCATGAACAGATGAATGGATAATCAAACTGCATACACACAGTGGAATATTATGCAACATTAAAGAATAACGAATAATCAGTGAATCACCTCATAATGTGGATGAACTTGGAGGACATTATACTGAGTGGAATAAATCAATCAAAGGAGGACAAATATTGTATGAATCCATTATTGTAAAAAGTTAAAGAAAAGTTCACACAGAGAAGGAAATTTTCTTTGTTGGTTACCAGGGATGGGAGAAGAGGGGAAGAGAGGGACTATAGGTGGATAATTAAGTGATAGGTTTGATATGGGTGGAGGGATTTTTTTTTTTTTTTTGTCTGAGTAACATTTTAGAAGTTGAGTTTTTAAAATTTAATAAAAACTTCAAATATTCAGATAAATTACAATGAACATCCACATTATCACCTTCTAGACTGATCAATTCTCAATATTGTCTTCAATTTTTGAAAATAAATGAAAGGATTTTACAGAAGTAGGACCTATGTATATCTCCAAATCTCATTCCTGTCTTCCTTTCTTGCAGATAGTCACTTTTTTTGAAGTGAGAGTGTATCTTCCTGGTTCATATATTAATAAATAATATACAGCATGGTTTTTCTTGTTTTAAAATAGTAAAATTACAGCAGATTATACCTCCTATTAATCTATTTGTGTGTGCATGTGTGTGTGCATATTTGTGTGTATGTGTGTGTGTGTGTGTTCCCTCTCCATCCTATTTTCTTCCACAGGTATAGTAACATATATATTATGTTCCCCAGTCCAACATGAAACAAGAAAGAAAGAAAAAAAAAGATACATTGATTTTACTTACACTGACTTAATCTAATAGCCAAAGGAAGATACTCGCATGCCCGCTTGCCTACAAAGCCAGTTTTTCTTCTCCCTAGTACTAGATTAGGATTAGGAGCTCTGGTAGCGTAGTGCCTAAGGCATTTGACTGCTAACCAGAAGGCTGGCAGTTCAAACCCACCAGCCACTCCTGGGAAGGAAGGTTGGGCAATCTACTTACATAGTGATACTGCCTTGGAAACCCATTATGAGTAGGGTCCAACTCAATGGCACATAACGACAAGTACTAGATTAGAATAGGCTATTCATTTATTTAGGCTGTTTATTCACTTAATGTGGATGACATCTATTTAGGACATAGAAACACTTTCATGATTTTTCACTAATTTTTTAAAAATTAAAAATTTCTGTTTAGTGAAGATGATCATAAACTATGAGTGTATTTTATTTGTAACAACAAGGGTGTGTTGTGAGGTGTTATTTTCATAGTTAACTAAAGCATTCTAAGTAATTGATGTAGAACCTCTTTTCCCAGAAGTAGATAGATGGTAAATTAAAGAGTAAATCAGCAATGCTCTTAATCCTTTAAGAACAATGACTTTTACCTGAAGATACTGAATATATAACTTCTCCATTGTTTCCTTCATCAAGATCTTTTGCAAACACAGTTGTAACTAACATATTTACTGGTTGACCTTCCAGCACCTGTCATTAAAACAAAGGGCTTACAAATCCATGAAAATTTTAAAAAGAAATGTCAATTACCCTTAAATAAGAACACATGCCTACTAAGCATTTTTAACTATTTTTAAATCCACATGTAATTCAAATGCTTACCATATGAAAGTTAGATGAGTGTAGGTCTATGCAAAGAATCCACCTAACAAATTTAAATATTTTACTTAATGTGAACAAATTATCTGAAGCATTTGTACAATTCTAAAAGGAGGAGAAAGAAATCAAATACACTAATCTTAGATTTATTTATAGATGCATTTTAAGAATTCTAGTATCTACTCATTCATCACTTTCTCAGGACAGTTGTTAAAAGGTTGTTTTCATGGTACAAAATATATTAAAGGTGAACATGAACATTTATTACAGGAAATATACCTCATAAATCAACAGGATCTTTCCTGGAATATCGAAATGCATACATGTTCAACTCCATAGTTTTGAGTCCAACTGCCCAATTAAGCTACAGAATATTTTAATGATATAATTAAAAATCATAAAAGTACTATGCTAATGTTTTGCTCTGGTAAAATAGTCCTTTAAATTTGACTTCAGAAGATCAAGTTAAAATTACTGACTTCATCAGCACCTTTTAAAAATTGTTGAATATGCATATTTGAAGACAATTTGAATGTCCGATTCAAGTGTTTTGGAGCAGTAGCTTCTAAACTTTTATTTGTATAATGCATTCATTTAAAAAACAACAACATTATGAGCAGATCCAAGATACATTTATTTATTATATTTTATATATATATATATATTTATTATACATATATAAACTAAAATGATGGGAGCTCTGGTAGCATAGTGCCTAAGGCATCTGACTGCTAACCAGAAGGCTGGCAGTTCAAACCCACCAGCCACTCCTTGGAAGGAAGATGGGCCAATCTACTTCCGTAGTGATACTGCCTCGGAAACCCAAGGAGGGGTCGCTATGAATCAAGTCTGACTTGATGGCACATAACAGCAGCAACACAGCAATATGATAATTTTTATAAACTCAAAAACTCACTGCCGTCAAGTCGAACCTGACTCATAGCAACCCCTCCTTGGGTTTCTGAGGCGGTAACACTACGGAAGGAGATTGCCCAACCTTCCTTCCAAAGAGTGGCTGATGGGTTTGAACCTCCAGCCTTCTAGTTAGCAGTCAAATGCCTTAGGCATTATGCAATATATATAAAATATGCACAAAAGCATGGACATGGAAAAGAATAAGATAACAAAATATAATTGGAAGTTTTTATATGTGCTTAAAAGGATCACCTTCTACATGCTCTGGGTGTATAGCTATCTGTCTTGGATTGTTCTCATACCTTTAACTAACCACCTTAGGGATATGTGTCAATTGCTCATACCGAGGCCTGCACAAAGAGATGCATTCACTATTGGAAAAAACAATTCATGTTTGAGCATTACAGATAATGGGTACCATTCTGCTTACATACAAAGGGCAGAACTACATTACTATAAGACAGCTAAATGTGTGATACGAAATGCCATATAACCCTTTTCTTTAAAAAATGTTTTTTCAAACACGTATCTGTTCAGTTTCTAGTCTTCTTGAAATATACACATTGCCACACTGATTTGATAAATTCTCACTTTTTACCACAAGATGGTGCTCAGAACAAATGTTGTACAATTCCATACAAGCTAAGAATATTGAAAATTCATTGGGAGAATACTTCACTCCACATACCTTGATGTGTAATTCCTTCCCTGGGAGACATTGTGGGAAATATGGCTTATTATCATTGATGTCAGTAACTGAGATATAAACCACCATGGTGGCATTTCTTGGTGGGGAGCCATGGTCCGTCACCAGCACAGTCATCTGATGGTATACTTGCTGTTCATGATCTAAAGCCACCCAATTTATAAGCTCACCTGAGGAACACAGGGTAGAGTAAGAGAGATAGACTCTGGGTATTAGGGTGTTGACATTATGAGCTACATCTAAAATAATACAAACAAAGGATGATCACACATAAAGCTCTTAGTGAAAGCTCAACTTCCAAAGCATATGCATAATAGTTGGTTGCACTGTTCAAAGAATCTTCTGTAGCTGCTACAGAAAATGCCACTTTAAAATCATCACTCTTTGTATTTAAAATTATCTACCATCAACCATTTGTACTAAAAAGTGAATTCATAAAAGCAAATACACCTACTCCTCACTTACCAACTATCTTCTTATCTGACATTTCACATTTACAATAGTCAAAAATCTAACATCTGGCTATTTTGCTCATTAATGACATATGTGTAGCAGAAATAAATACTAAGGTGCCAGGCAAGAGTAACACTAGCTGTGATGGTTAGGGTTGTGTCAACTTGGCAGGGCCAAAAAATCTCAGTGGTTTGGCACTTATGTAATGATATAATTTGGCAATGATGTAATTATACAATCAGCCTCCATTTTGTGATCTGATGTGGTCATCCCCCATTTTCACATAATGCCAACTTTCACATAAATACCTGGTCTTTGGAACCTAACCATGTCGATAAGTGAGGAGTGAGTGTAATAAAATAATGTGTGAGAATTTATTAATAATGTGAAAGACTTAACGTTACTGTTTATGTCTCTATATGTTGCTATACAAAGTAGTGGAAAACACATGAACTCTGACATCCTGAGATCTGGGGCTGGGTCTCCCTACTTCCATCGCAGACGCTGAATGATCTCTCTCCGGTCACCTTCTAGGCCTACTATGACAAACAAATGCAATAACAAATTTAAAACTATCTTGTAAACTGTAAATTATTAGGAGCTCTGGTGGCTTAGTGCCTAAGGCATTTGACTGCTATCCAGAAGGCTGGCAGTTCAAACCCACTAGCCACTCCTCGGAAGGAAAACTGGGCAATCTACTTCCATAGAGATACTGCCTAGGAAACCCAAGGAAGGGTCTCTATGAGTCAGAACTGACTCGATGGCAGTGAGTTATTACACAATTGAAAAAAAAAAAATGCAGTCATTAAGTTGATTCCAATTCAATGATACATAATAGTTGGTATTATTACTTTAAAAAATGGCAAAATATCTTTTTGAAAATCAAATTATATTCCTCGGACAATAGTTTGTCTTTTTCTTATACAGTTAATTCTTCTTACCTTGCAAAATGTATGTGAAGTGTGGATAATAAATTCTGAAATAACTCTGAATGCTTTACAAGTCTTACTTAAATATTCTTGCCTAGAACTGTGCTGCCTTCTGTAACTGCCCTTTCGTTTCAGCCATGAAGACTTGGGCCTAAAAAAAATACTAACTGCCTTTGTCTACCACCAAGGGCTGTCAGAGGACATGTTCTCCCATCTCCTGCTGAGGAATTCTGCCATACACTAGTTTTCTCATGACCATTTATGAAAATATCTATTCCTAAGAAAGTATGCATGAAGTGATGGAGCTTAAGCACCTGGCTGCTAAACAAAAGGTTGGCAGTTTGAACTTATCAAGTGGTTCCAAGGGAGAAAGACAGGGAAATTTTCTTCTGTAGAGATTATAGCCAAGAAAACCCATGGGGCAGTTCTAGTGTCTCATGGGGTCACTATGAGTCAGAATTGACTCAACAGCATCCAATAACAACAACCACATACAAGAAGTGACCATCTACCATTCCTATTTCTAAGAATTACTTCCCTCTTAATCCAAATAAGATGACACCGAGTAAGCACTGGAAGGGTTCATGGTCCAAAGCTACCCAGAGGCATTTTGCAAGACTGACTTGGCAATCTGCTTCCAAAAGGTCACAGGCTTGAAACCTGTGGTGGTTATGTCTGTGTGTCAACTTGGCTGGGCCTGGTTGAGTGGTTGGGCAGATGGATGTAGTATTCCTCATGATGAGACTGGAAATCAACTCCATGGGGGAATCTACTGGGAGCAGCTGAGTAGCTGCCTTAGGGAACATGGTCTGCTTCCTGTAAATAAGCAGAAACCTTGGGGAATGGACTTGAGCTTATGACATACTTGGACCCTGCATGTAGCCATGTCGTTGCTCAGCAGCCTGCCATGCTCTGCCAACTTTGGGACTTACAATGGACTTAAGTTAATGGCCTGCCGCGTGGTTTGATAACATTGGGCCTGTGTCTTTTTACTTGTCAACCTTGGGCTTCTCAGCCTCAGCAGCAGCTGTCCGAGTGAATAAATGCCTCTAGCTCCAGAGGGCCAGGAGCAGGAGGCAAAGCTGGACCCCAACGTTGAGGGGTTTTCATCCAGCCCCTAGAGTCTTGCACTTTAAACTTGGATTTAAAGCTTCCAAACTGTAAGAGAATAAACTCGTTTGTTGAGGCCAACCCATTTGTGGTATATTCTTGTCAGAGTGGCACTAGGGAACCAGAACAAAAACCCTACGCAGCACAGTTCTATGCACACATGGGGTCACGATGAGTCATAACTGACTTAACAGCAACTAACAACAATAACAACAAAACAAAACAAAAGCCAAAGTGAGGAATAAATAAGAAAATCCACATTTAGGTAAATTGCTGGATTGGTGAGTTTAAATGCAGTGTTTCCTATAACTTTTTTTTTTTTTTTTAATTAACAAAGATCAGGCACAACTGAATTTCTTTAAAAAAAAATTAAATTTCAAACTGTAATTCTTCTCTGAAAACCCTAAGTCCTAAATGGCAAACAGACTTTTATTTGATGAACCAATTCTGATAAGTAGCAGCTGTTTAGAGGTCAGCGGTAAAAACAACTGTGGAGCTTCACTTGGGGCTGGACCTGTGGTAAGAAGCTCTGGTGGCATAGTGCCTAAGGCATTTGACTGCTAACTAGAAGGTTGGCTGTTCAAACCCATTAGCCACTCTGCAGAAGGAAGACTGCGTAATCTACTTCCGTAAAGATTTACTGCCTCAGAAACCCAAAGGGGGTTCCTATGAGTCAGAATTGACCTGATGGCAGTGAGGTTTTTTTTTTTTTTGGGGGGGGTGCAGGGTGCTGGGGTGTGGGATGATGCCAAGTCAGGGCTCAGTACAAAGAAAAGTCCTGATCACTTTGAGGTCTGTTCAGAGCACCAGAGTAGGCATCCCTGCTGTACAATGAAGGGTGCCCTCAGAGCATAACACCACATGTCAGGAGTTATCCCTCTATTCATGCCAAGGAACTGGAAACTTTGACATTAGCTATCTGCCCAAGGTCTCACAACAAAGGAATAAATGCCTGGTCTTACCAATCTAGGTGCTGAACTGACTGTGGGAGATAGATCTTAAAGGAACAAATTATAGTTTATTTTCAAGAAAATTAATCCAGTGAAATAGACCTAGAAACCAGCCATATAGAAGTAAAGTGCAAGCAGGGGCATCATTGACAGGTGTGCAGTGTGTGTCCTGCAGAGGAAAGGAGGGCCCTTGCTTTGAAATGAATTGGAGCAGAAGTCCAGCTTGCATTCTTTTTGGCAAACCACGTACACCATAAGAAACTACATCTTCCTGAAAGAAGAGGCACCTTTTTCTAGTTTATACTGTTGTTGCTATGTTTATACTACAAAAGCCTTCAAATCAAAGGCTTGAAGTCAATCATGACTGAATTCAAATTCTGTCCCCAGTAAAGGGCAGGGGTTACCATTTGCACAGACTGTAATATAAATAGTGCCTCTTGGAACTGTGCAAAATGGTGGCCTTCTCTTTCCTCCTACTAGCTCCACGACCTTGGGCAAATTCCTTGACCTGTTTGAGTATCAGTTTCCTCAACTGTATAATTTCTGGATAATCATATTTCATTTTTAAATGGTTATGTAAAAATTAAATAAACTCCTTATAAATGTATACAATGTAAATTTTTAAATACATTAACATTTTTATATTTAATTTCTTAATTAAAACTTCAAGAACACTCACTATCAATTTTGCCCCTTTCTCTCTTTCCCTTACCAAAGTGAGAATGGAAATAAATCTCTAATGCGATTTCAAAATCTTAACTAATGGCTTGCTTTCTACTCTTACAATGATGAAATTTATATTTCATAAAATATTTATGACATTTTGAAAAAAAAATCCACAAATGAAAAAGATTGGTTGGTCAAGAAATTTAAACTTTATGCAAGTGTTTATTCTACCCAGTTCTGACTATACCTCTACATCAGAATAAGACCCATATATTAGCAATCTATGGATGCCAGGCAAGAAAAGTATGAACCAGTATTGGTAAAATTCTATTCAATTTTTACTTTCTTTTAAAATCACACCGTACTATAATCCACAATGTATATTTGCTATAAACAATAGCTTTAATTAAGTGTCTGTGCTCATGCTATACCCAGGAAATTTGAGTTTTGTCAATTCCCATTTTAAAGGAATAGGTTTAAGCTGCAAAATGGTACCTGTATTAGGGTTCATCTTGAAGAATTTGCCATCAGACAAAAGGAAATATGAGAGCTGTCCATTCTTCCCAGAGTCTCTGTCAATTGCTGTAATTTTGCCTATTACCCCTTGGGGAAGAGGACTCTCCTTGACTTTCAAAAACAACACATCATGCAAGAAGGTAGGGGAATTGTCATTCTCATCCAGCACTTGAACAATTACTGAAGTGCTCACATTTTGCAACAATCTGTCTTCTGGGATCCAGGCAAACACTCTAAATCTATATGTTTTTGTGGATTCATAGTCAAGTTGTCGCCGCAAATAAATCCAACCTGTGTAAGGGCTGATGCCAAACAGAGCAGAGTCTATACTGGGTTCTAGGGAGTACATGGGCTGTGAAGTTGTGTGCTGTGGGCCTAGTGGGTAGGCCTGTATTTGCAGTATTTGAGTAACTGGTGAGAGGGATTCACTAATTTCTACTCGATAGACCAAATTTTCAAAAGTCAAGTGTGGACTTGATTCTTGCTTTTCGATAATTACAGTCAGCACTAACAGGGATGCCCGAGGAGGAACTCCATGGTCCTCAGCCATGAGTGTCAGCACATGCTTCTGCAGGGTTTCCTCTCTCAGACTCTCATTGAGGTACACCACACCAAGGTCTTGATCAATGGTGAAGATGCCCGAGGTTTGGCTGGCAATCAAGTATCGGATAAATCCATTCAGGCCACTGTCTTTGTCTTCTGCTCGTGCAAGGTACAAGGCTGTGCCAGGCGGTGTGTGCTGAAATATTTTAATCTCGTCAGAGTCTGTGAGAAAAGCTGGGTAGTTATCATTGATGTCGAGGACAGTTATGTTGGCTTCTGTGCTGCTGCACACTGGGGAGCTATTCAGCTGTGCCTGGATGGTGAGCACAACCACGGGCTGTGTTTCATGATCCAGAGGCTTCTGGGTACAAATGGTGCCCAGCCATGGGTGAATAGAGAACTTTCCATCCACATCACCAGAAGTGATTCTGTAAAAGATTGGCTCTGTGGAATCTGAAAAAAAAAAGAGAGAGAGAGAGAGAGACAGAAAGCAATCGCTACATGGGGTGTCAGGGGAAGAGTACACACTGAGAATGCTGTAAGCTGAAAATGTTAATATATACTACTTCTAAAATGTTGATATAAACATAAATTATAAAAAAAAAAGAATTTGAAAACAAAAATGATCTGTCCTACATATATGGAGAATACAAGGAGCCCTAATAGTGCAATGGTTAAATGCTCAACCAGTAACTGAGAGATTGGTAGTTTAAACCCACTCAGTGACATGGTAATATGCACCTATAAAGATTTCAGTCTAGGAAACGCTGTGGGGCAGTTCTACTGTGTCACATGGAGTCACTATGAGTCAAAATCAACTCAATGGTATCTAACACTGGAGAATACAATACCATGTCTTACTTCATCCTCAGCTCTCCAAAGCCTGTTGAAAAGTGGACATGTGGTTTAAGATGTATGAATGGACAGAGGTTATATCCAATGGACAAGCAGTAAGCCTTAAGTTTTACTAACTACATTCTTTCCTTCTTTGTGTACTAGATAAAAGGGAAAGATATTCAAAGCATAATTTGGATCCTTTTTTTAAATATATTTAAGGAAGTCATGTTGATACTATGTTTTTGTTTCTCTATAGAACTATCTATGAATGGCAAATAATAATAAATAATAACAATAATAATAATAATAAAAACCTCTACAAAGGTTGAGAGAGGCAAAGGGAGGAAAAGGAGGGAATTATCTAAGCTCTTTATGCAAATAATTCACTTTCAAGAATTTATCCTGCAGAGAGCTATCTCCACTAGTATAAGACAAGGATCCTTGTTTCAGCACTATTTGGACTAGTAAAAATTGTGACTCATTCAAACTAATATAGCAAAAGGAGAATGTCTAAATAAATTATGCTTCATATCCTAGTTGAAATACTATGCAGCTATTTTTTTAAATGGAACTGAGTTTTGTCCAGTATACACTAAACAAGAAAAAGAAGGCAGTTGTAGAATTTTTAAAAAAAGAAAAAATCCAAAATGATACATTTTTGCAAAATATTTTAAACTTGTGTGTATTTGGGGGACTGAGTTATAGAAGACTTAAACTTTCTACCATTATAGGTATTATGTATTGTTTTAAACTTTCTTTTAAAAGTACCTATTAGGAAAAAAATATATATATATATGCGTGTGTGTATATATATATATGCATATATACATAGTAGTAGTAACACTGATGAAAGAACACAGAGCAAGCCACAAGTTTCACTATCTCCCTTCATTCTTCTTGCATTAAGTTAAGATAGAAAGAAGGAAAAATTTATTCAAGGTTAAATAGCCTAAAAATAACACATGAAATGCTCCAATAATGGACTTCAATGCAGCATAAAAAGTACTTACTGAAGGACTCTCTTGCTTTTACTGTTCCAACAGGACTGCCTTCAGGCACATCTTCATAAATTGAGAATGTATACTTGGACCTTTCAAATTCAGTAGGCACCAGAGTTGTCAGAAGAATGTGTATAGTGACTTCGGCATTGATGGCAGATGTGAGTCCACCACCATCTCGAGCACAGACCATCAACAAAAGTGTAGTAGATTCCAAATGACTAAGAGTTGATGTTAAATAAATAATTCCTGGGTAGGGGAAAGAAAGACTTACTAAAGAGATTAACATGCACTAAATACTGATAAGCATAATAACTTCTGGTATGGTAAATCTACTTTCCAACCAAAGAAACTGTGCAGTTTTACAAAATGATGGTCCAAATTCTCTCACAATTTTCTTAAGAGTTTTAAAAGACTACACATCTTGAAAGTACATCATATAAATTCATTAGGAAAACACCAAATCCCGATGTCTATCTTAGGCCTCACTACCGTATCACCAGGATCCCTGGTGGTGCAACGGTGAAGTGCTTGGGTGCTAACCAAACAGTTTGGCAGTTCAAACCCACCAGCTGCTTCGTGGGAGAAAAGACCTTGTGATCTGCTTGCTCCCATAAAGATCACAGCCTAGGAAATCCTATAGGGCAATTCTACTCTGTCACACAGAGTCAGTATGAGTAAGAGTCGACTTGACAGTACACAACAACAAAAACAACACCTTATCACCAGCCCTAGATGATGCAGTAACAGTGCATCCCATAGTCCAATGTGTTCTAGGCCACATGAGGTTATAGGGTGATTACAGTCTGCCCAGTCACTTAGAGGATTAAACTAAAATTTTATCTTCTGAAGTATTTGACATCTGCCCTGAACTAGACTAGGATATCTCTTTCACAACTTATTCCACTCTTATCATTATAGGTTAGGGCAGATGTCAAATACTTCAGAAGACAAAACTTCAATTAATGTTAAAGCTGTGTGGAGTAAGAATGGCAAGTTAGGCCTATGTACATAGTGTGTGGGGGAAGAGGAAGGTATTTATGTTGCTGTCAGGGAGAGAAAACAGATTAATATTGTTAATACATGGCACGAATGGGGAAGCCCTGGACTACTAACCAAAAGTTCACAGTTCAAATCCACGCTGAGGTACCTTAGAAAATAGGTCTGGTGATCTGTTTCTGAAAGATCCCAGCCTTGAGAACCTTCTGGAGCACAGTTCTACCCTGTACACATGAGAAGGCCATGAGTCAGAGTCGTCGTGATGTCAGCTGACAACTATTTCCTGTACTAGCTTGAAAACAATAAAAAGGTCCCACATAGCAAACTTAAAAAAATAATCAGGTTTGTTTTATCTAATGAGAAAGAAAATACATGGACACTTATTAAATAAATTTACATGACTGAACTTTATGGACAATATGTTGTTGTTGTGTTTTGCCATAGAGTCGGGCTCAACTCATGACGACCCCTCCATGGGTTTCCAAGGCCCTATCACTACGGAAATAGATTGCTCAACCTTTCTTCTGAGGAGTGGTGATAATTATTAGCTAAATGAAGGAATACTGCATTTTTTTGTGAGATCATGAGAAGCTGGCAATGCTGTCAAAATCATCAGTTTTTTAAGCATAAAAACGTTAAATAGCATCCATTCATTTTTAAGTCAGAATCTGCCCCCTCACAATTTCAATTCCTTCTGTTGTAAATATACTTTATACTTCTGTTGTAAATTTAATAAAATATTTTATTTATCTTTGTCATCATAGATCTTTAATAACTAAAATGTCTTGTTTGACCTACTCCAAGCACAACCTTCCTCAGAAGGAAGGTTGGGCAATCTACTTCCATAGTGATACCACCTCGGAAACCCAAGGAGGGGTAGCTATGAATTGGGTCCGACTCGAGGGCACATAGCAACAACAACAACAACAACAAGCACAACGTGACCATTTTCTTTCATAGTTTCCAATCTTACATGATTTCTATTCATTTCTATTCACTACTATAGTTCCCTTACTCCTGAACCTATTCCAGGTGATCCTCTCAAGTACAAACTGAACACACAGTTGCAAATATAATCTATTATACAGCAGAGTAAAGCACTAATCATTATAAAACACTAACCAAAGCCCAAATCCATTGCCATCTAGTTCATTCTGACTCATAGCGACCCTATAGGACAGAGTACAACTGTCCCATAGTGTTTCCAAGGCTATAAATCTTTAAGGAAGCAAACTGCCTCATCTTTCTCCCATGGAATAGCTGGTTAGTGTGAACTGCCAGCCTTTTGGTTAGCAACTGTATACCTCAGTCACTGCACCACCAGAGCTCTTTATGAAAGACTGAAGTAACAATTATACCAGATTTCAGCTGCCATATTACAATTTGGGTTTCTACTGATTTGGTGATCCACCAAAGCACAATATTTATCATACAAATTTCTAAGTTAGAACTTTCCTATACATTTTTGGTGCAGTTTAAAAAGCAAAATCCTTGTTGATATTATTAAAGTCCATCCTGATTTTATATGTATAAAACCAGTAAAACAAATAATTTTAAAAAGTCTATAAAAGAAAATGAGAAGTCCTTCTATTTTCACCTTCCCAACTCCCCAGGTGTGGTGCGGTGAATTACATGGTATGGCTCTTCTAGCCATGGTCTTTGTGACTCCCACCATATGACTGGGAGGAACCATGCAAATGTAAGGTGCTTGTGGCCCACCAAGGTGATTGGACAGCTTATTAGTAATGTAAATAAAGTACATGGTATCCTTGTGGGGGTGGGACCAGGGAAATAAAATGTATGAAGCACTAATGTCGGGATTGGTCAGTTCTGTCATTCCACTAGGCTTAATGTGAGCCCTCGTAGAGGCAGAAGACGGGGAATCCCATTGCCAATGAGAGAGAAGAGCCAGAGATGGTGTGGAGCACATCCTTGGATCCAAGATCCCTGTGCTGAACTTGTTTGGCAGAGAGACTGGCAGAGAGACCAGCAGAGAGACAGCGGTAGTGGAACCAAGTGGCATAAGACAGAGCAGCTGACTTGCTGGCCCATGGAGCAAGAAAGCTGGCAGAGTAGGGTGCACCTAGATGCCCCTATTGGCAGAACTAAAAGAGATGTGTAATACTTGCCTGAGCAAGGCAGAGGCCAGGCTGAGAGGCCAAGGGCCAAATAGAGGCATGCTTACAGGCATGGCAGAGGGGAAGCTGTCCTGATTGAAGAATTGTATCTTGAACATTCCTGAACCTGAATTGTAACCTGTTACTTTCCTAGTAAGAAGCTCTGGTAGCGTAGTGCCTAAGGCACTTGACTGCTAACCAGAAGGCTGGTGGTTCAAACCCACCAGCCACTCCTTGGAAGGAAGATGGGGCAATCTACTTCCATAGTGATACCACCTTGGAAACCCAAGGAGAGGTCGCTATGAGTCGGGTCCATAACATCAATGGCACATAACAACAACACTTTACTAATAAACCTAATAAATCGTGAGTATTGTTTGTGAATTCTGTGTGGCCACTGCAATGGATTATCAAACCCAGCAGAGAGGTATTGAGTGCTATGGGAGGGATGGTTGGTGTCAGAGATTCTGAGAAGGCTAGAGGGTGGCCTCATAGGAATAAGCCTTGGGCTGCTAATGGCAATTCTGTCTCCCCCTTGTGAAGTTAGAAGTCAGAGGAGAAAGTTGATGTAATTTCAATTATAGAGAAAATTAAAAGATTTCATTTTGCATCCCTGATGATTTTGATGTTGAAAAAGTAATGCCTGTCACAAGACCACAACCTAGTTTTTCTGCCTGCAGCCACACTCCTGAACTGCTCTTCATGCTTTTATCAGAATAACTTTCCTAAAATCCAAGTCTAGACATATCAATGTCTTTCCAGATTTTCAGAGTAAAGTTCAAATGTTGTGCTACATACAATTCCATTAATAAATTTGCCTGCTCTGCTTTTGCAGCCTCATCTCACCACTATCTAAACAGTACCTTTTGCTCTAGACACAGTGAACAATGTGTAATGTTCAGATAGATCTTACTCTTTTATTATTGTTATTGTTTTATTTATTTATTTATTGGTGAAATGTACAAAGCAATATATATTCAGGAAAAAAAAATATCTTTGTTACCAAGGAAAGCATACCACTTTTCTTCAGAGCTGTTTAGGAAGCTTGCATAATAGTCAACATTCAGATTGGATATTTAAATGTGTCCCTTTAAAAATTATTGTAAAAGAGATTTTTCTAAAAATAGAATTCTTATTATGCAAAAAGATTCAAGGATAGGATCAATGGAAATTTCAAGTGAAATTTTAAGTAAATACAGGTCACTATGAGTTGGGTCTGACTCGACGGCACATAACAACAAACAACAAAAGCTGTATTCAATTAACTGAATCCCTGAAGTACAGATAAATGTACTCTATAGAAATTGTGTATACAAAACTATTCTGAACATATTTTTATCTTAGATATGAACAAAAATAATGTCTCAAATACCCGAATTACTAATAAAATTGCCTTGGTAACATATGGTAAAGTGTGATACATAATGAAATAAATAGCTGCACCCTATTCAGTCTTCTGGTTAAAAGTATTATCTCTGGCGAAACTCACCCAGTATTATGAAATTTAATGATTCACTCTTCCAAATGCATAAACAGATATTTTAAATTAGATAATTCAGTGAGGCTTCAGGTCCCAATGATTTGAGAATAGGGAACAGAAAGCAACACATAACTCACATGATATTTTTATAATTTTATCTTTAATAAAAATCAAAGCTATTCCTTGTAAGAAAATTATTTCTTATTATTTTAACACAATTTCACTAATGAATACCCATCTTATTTGTCATATTACAGGTTCTCAATAAATTTGAATGAAAGGGAGATCCTGGGCCAATTACATTGGGTTACACAAATATAACTTTGCTGAGAATCTTCAGCCTTAAGAAATTTATAAAAGCTGATCAATAACTAAGTCGGTAAGAACAACTGTTAGTTATAAGTGAGGAACACACTTTAAAGTCATTAAGCTACCAGAGCTCCTATATATAAATGTACACACATATATGTGCACGTATATAATATACACACATATATTTACATATTTGAGGAGCTCTGGTAGCGTAGTGCCTAAGACTGCTAAGCAGAAGGCTGATGGTTCAATCCCACCAGCCACTCCTCGGAAGGAAGATGGGGCAATCTACTTCCAAAGTGATACTGCCTCAGAAACCCAGGGAGGGGTCTCTATGAGTC